CATGATCACTGCATCTTCCTGACTTGTTGCCGCAACTGATGCATATGCTTCTTTCAACGTATCTCAAAGCAGCACATACAAATTTGTCACAATCTTCTTTGTCTTCATGACTCCCAAACTCCCCTTCACCACCTTCAAGATTCCATTTTCAATATGGATCTTACACCTGAGGTCATCTAATTTCCCAATGGACAATAGATTCTTCTTCAAGTCCTTCACATGTCGTACCCTTTGAATTGTGCAAATAGTACCATTATACATTTTAATTTTGACAGTTCCAATTCCAATAATCTCCAATGCATGGTTGTTTCCCATGAAGACAGATCCACCTGAGAATAGTTCATAAGTGTGAAATCAATCTCGATGCGGAGTCATGTGCCATGTTGCACCTGAATTCACTATCCACTTGTCGTGAAACTCTTTTTCACCATTAGAGCTAATTACTGCTTCACTCACCAGAATATCTACATCTTTCGAGGTACTTACAACACAATCTTGTGAGGTTGATTTTTCAGAGTTGTTTTCTCTATTCTTCCTATTCCAACACTCTTTTCTCGTATGTCCTTTCTTGCCACAAAAGTAATATTTAATTTTAGAACTCTTCTTACTTCGAGACCTCGATCTATCATTACTCGAGCCATGTTCCGTTGATTTTTCTCTCATCATTGTCAAAGTCTCTGCTTGATTGGAACTTTCTCCCTTACTCATCTGCCTGAATTCTTCTTCAGGAATAGCTCCGACAACATATACAAAGTGCATATTTCCACCAATATTATTATTTGTAATATTGATGATGAGTTGATCATACGAATCAGGTAAACTCTGAAGTAAAAGCTCTGCACGCTCATTTTCTACTATGTTGAAATCTGCTGCTAATAGTTGAACAAACAAGGTATTCAAATGGTTGATGTAGTTCGTCACTGATGTGGACTCACTCATCCGAAAAGTATAAAATTTTCTCTTCAAGAATATTCTTTTGTGAAGTGACTTCACCTCATATAGTTTAATGAGAGTATCTCAAATCTCCTTCGTAGTAGTCTTCTCTGCAACACTAGATAAAACGAATCTGACATTGATAAGTGCAAATTTGCAATAACATCGTCGTTCATTTCTTTCCACCGTTGTTCATCCGTGTGTTCCACGATTCTTTCTGCAATTGCATCAATACAATTGTCTTTCCTCAAAATTGCCTTTATCTTCAATTTTCACAATGAAAAATTACTCCCATTGAACTTTTCTATCTCATATTTTGTTGTCATGGTTCCAAAATCGACTTATGTAATCCTCACTATGAATAGTATTGCCTATTGGAACAATAATGGTAGACCGTGAACTAGTACATCAAGTAAGTTCCCAGGAAACAGAGGTGAGTCACTGATGGACACGCTTAAATACCAAGTCTTTCTTTGCCAGAACTTTTCCTAGACATGCACTATCACACTACCAAATAATATCCAGTAACAAGAATAACTCTTTTTTGATGTGGAAGATCAGATTAACCGCAACCACAGACCATAATACAAATTTCTCCAACACTATTCTAATGATTATGCAGCAGAAGACCAATATCACAACCTAGTGGCTCTGATACCACTATTAGACAAAAGCATAAGCACACAAAACTAAAATAAAAAAATGAGAAAAATATCAACAATAGGCAAAAGAGTAATTCCACTAATGAAAGAAATTACAACATTTCTCTCTCTACCTCCAAGGAGGAAACAATAACACCCTCTTCTAAAAATAAAGGAAAAATAACTCTAAGAAAACTTAAAAGGAGAAACTATTTTTCTCTCTTAATTTATCTCTCAAATACTAAAACAACAAGAGAAAGAAGAGGAGGTAATTTTAGTACATCTTATAAGATAAATACTATGCTCCTTTTATAGTAAGGAAATGAAGCATCAAACTAAGATTTCCTGATGTAGGACTTTTCTTCTTACATATGTATCACTTTCTTCTTTCTTGCACACAATTTAAAAACTAAATATATAGTCAATATATTTTTTTTAAATATGATCTATATAATTCATGTTAACTATAATAATTGGTATCCGTCAAAATTTAAAAAGTATATATATATATATATATATATATATATATATATATATATATATATATATATATATATATATATATATATAGCACAAATTATCAACCCTTAACACACACATATACAATAATAAATATAATCTTAATTTATTTTATACCACACTTAAATTCCTATTCACTCTATGATAATTACATGATATTACTTAAGTTACTGAACCATGATTCAATATTGAAGGTGTTGAACTTAGGAGTTTATAAAAAAATAATATTTTTATATTAAATATATAACAACTTATTTTGCAAGAATGAAAGACGGTTTTAAATTTTAGAAAGACAAAAATGAAATAATATAACACCAAACTTAGAATTTAATTTTCTAGAGGTCTGAACTAGGCATATATAAAAAAATCAAAATATCAATTTGTTTTTTCTGATAATGCATATTCAAATTTTAAAAAACCAATTCAAAATTTAATTTAGGTTAACTGAATTAAGTAATATGTGAAGATAACGAAAAAAATAAATAAATAAAGAAAAGAATAGATGAGACAAATATAAAATATACGAGACTTAATAAGAAAAAGGAATTAATAAATCTTGAAAAATCGTTTAAAGTTAATAAGTTCGATCTATAAAATAAAGGGAATTTATTATTTTATGTTTGATTAAACGATTCAAGGTGAGAATTCTCTACAATTATTTTCAAACGTCAGAGAAATCTGATTCGACGCGATATGTTCATCGTTCAATAGTTTGTAAATTGTAACCATATAATTTTTTTATTGTTCCTAAATTTGTAATTTATTGATGTGATGTGTTTAATTGTTCAATAGTTTATTAAGAGGTGGGATAATTAACAAGATATATTTAATAAAATATTTAGAATTTAAATTATAAAAAATACTTATCTTATGTAATAATGATGAAATCAAGCGGCTTTACTTAATATCGTGGAAATACGGGTGTAAAAATGTTTAGTTTGATTAATGGGTCTTAATACAAGAAATAAGTTAGATTAACAAATAAATTATGATTTAAATTAAATAAGACCTATTTCATCTCATTGAGTTAGGTCATGATCTATATGATATTAGATTAGACTAATATTATTTGGATAAATCCATTTTATAGAATAATAATTATTTTTTAAATAAAAAAATAATATTATTTTCTTATAAAATTAAATTTATTATAAATTAATTTTACAAAAAAATTATTTATTTTAAAAGTAAATATAAGAATAAATCTTTAATAATCACTTTTTCCAATATTTAACAATTAAGATTAATTATTATTTTAAATTAAAAAATTACTATTTTAATTCTTATTTTAAGATTGAAAAGATGTATTATTTTATAATTTATATATTAAATAATTATATTTTAGATAAAAACTAATTTTATTAATAAAATTTAAATTTTTTAAAATATTTTTTATTTTTTATTTGATTTTAATATATTTTAATTACTAAATTTGATATAGATATATTAACATTTTTTTAAAATTTCAATTAAGTTAAAATTAACCTATTAACCCGTTTGTCTTAAAATAGAATCATACTGGACTAAATTTTTTTATCTATTTTAAAATAACTGAACAATCAAATTTTTTATTTATTTATAAGGTCAAATGTGCATTTTGATAATTCTATTTTTATTTTTATTTTTTTAATCTTTGTCTTTCACTTGCACTATATATTTTCTTTATTTTTTTTTCAATTCTAGATTTGAAGTATTAATATAACCTCTTGCAATCAAGTTAGTCCACTACTCTACTATATATCAAATGTTTGAAATAAAGGACCAACCCCACAAAATGGTTTAATGTTTTTGACTTTGAACAGTATTACCATGAATATAAATATATATATATACTAAAAATCTTAAAGATTGTCGTAATGTATGAGTTAGGGTAAAAAGAAAAAAGTTAAAAAAAAGTAATATTGGTCCGATTTAACCTAGGTTATTAGTAATTGATTAAATTATTCAAAAATCATATTTAATTATACAAATAAATACTCTTCAATACAAAACCAAATTAATTAGGGCAAAAATGTACCCATATAGACTACCTTTTTGTACCTTATACCACAACTATATATCATATATGGTTTCTATCTACAAATTTATCTGGAAAGTCAGAAATTTTATGATCACGTTCACTTCACGTTTTTAAATAACAGTGTGAATTTGATGTCAGTTTTTAGCAACTTCCTTCCAATGAAATTTTTGTTGACGGATACAACTTTCAAAGTCCTCTTTTTCTATGAAATGTATTTTTTTTTTCCTTCAGTCATTCAAAGACCAACCTTGATTGAATGGGGAGAAATTCCTCACAGTCTTGCTTTTACACATTAATTCAATAGTCATGTGTGAACAAGAACATGCATGGAACCAATTAAAAAAAATGACAAGAAATAAATTTTATATATATGTCCAGTTAGTTATCTCTGCAAAAAAAAAAAAAATGTGTGATGGTAAATATTTATGCGAAAGTTAGCATAAAGAAAGTATATATATATATATATATATATATATATATATATACAGGGTTCTATAAATGATTCTGTATATTATATCCATCGATCATAGAATAAGTTGAAGGTTAGATAGATGTATCCTGTGTAGTCCCAGAGGACATAAATGCTCAAAATAAGATAAGGTATCCCTATCTTTATGATTTTTTTATAATAAGGAAATAGTTGTAAAATATCCAACAATAAACTATATCCATCCAATCAAATTTCGTGGGTGTGACTCCATTTTCAATAACCCCACACCTTATGCCATCATCATATATACCTTCAAACCAATCCATTTTTTTCCTGCTCTCCCTCTCCCTCTCTCACACACATATACACACACTTATATGAATACATCATAGTCTGGTTTTGATTTGATTGAGGGGTTGTTTGTGGCTGAGAAAAATCTGAATTTGTTGAAGAGAGAATGGGGAGGAAGTGCTCACATTGTGGAGTCATAGGCCATAATTCAAGGACCTGCACATCTTTGAGAGGCTCTACTCTCGTTGGACTTCGCCTCTTCGGCGTGCAATTAGACACTTGTGTTACCATCAAGAAAAGCTTCAGCATGGACTCTTTACCCTCTTCATCATCTTCCTCATTTTCTTCATCAAGGCTAACCATTGATGAAAATTCTGACCGAACCTCTTTTGGGTACCTATCAGATGGTCTCATAGGTCGAGTACAAGAGAGGAAGAAAGGTATATATACATATATGTGTGTATTATCATGTTTCTTTCTTGTTTATACATCTCATGAATTGTTGATTATTTGAAATTATAAGTAAAAAAAAACTATATATATATATATATATATATATATATATATATATATATATGCACACGAAGATAGCTACTGTCTTCTATTCATCTTTCCAGACTTGCAGGAAAATCTTTGATTAATTATCTTGTATCTACGATTTCAACTTTTATATGTATACCTTAAATAATATCTAACATTGTTATGGATACTTGATACTTATATCAGGAGTGCCATGGACAGAAGAGGAACACAGAATATTCCTTGTTGGACTGGAGAAGCTCGGAAAGGGTGATTGGAGGGGAATCTCTAGAAACTTTGTGACCACAAGAACCCCGACACAAGTGGCAAGCCATGCTCAGAAGTATTTTCTTAGATTGGCAACTATAGATAAGAAGAGGCGACGTTCAAGTCTTTTTGACTTGGTATGCATAAACCATGAATGATTAATATATGTTGCTTTTAATGATTTCAAACTAATGATGATGATTTATGTTTCTCTTTACACTGAAAAAGTGATTTACTTTTTCTTTTCTCCTTTTGCTTTGTCGTTGAAATGTTGTGGCAGGTTGGTAGCAACAACCCCAATATGGCAGGTTGTAATTCAGTTTCAGCTCATCATCAAAATGATGAGTCTAAACGTGATGAAGTTAAGAATAATGGTGCCACTTTGTCATTGCTAGGGCGTATAACCCACTTTCAAGAAGAAACTAAATCTGATTATAAGCAAGAAAATCTTGATAATTGCCCTCATCAAGTTCCTAATCTGGAGCTCACTCTTGCAGGCCCCAAGGGAAAGACCCTTCATCAGGAACAAAACAAACCAACCCCTTCTGCTCCATTCCTGCTTGGGCCAATTACTGTGACTTAATTATTCATGTGTTCTATAAATATATAAAAATTGTCCCAGGAATGTACCCTTTTATCTGTTCTTAAGTATCATATGGTCAAAGAAACACATTGTTCTTGCAGTAATAGTAGTGAGAAGTGGTTATTTAGTCCCTTACTCATGGAATAATCAGATCCTTGAAGACATATATAATACACCAGGATATATATACAAAGTAGTTGACTAAAATTATACAACATATTTATATGCAAATAAATATCTGTGGATTCCAAATTCGACCAAGTGTTCATTGGGTTAGGCTAATGAGATGATTCACATCATTAAATATTGTGTTTTAGACTTCAATAAGTAAGTTCTTCTCTCTTCTTTTGCCTAACTAGATTCAACACCTTCTCTCATTGCCCAAATCATTGTCAAAAGGGTCTTTGATTATGTTTGTTAACAAACCTTGTCATACTTTGAGTAATGAACTCAATGAAAGATAAAGAATGATTAACCACAGAAAAGTCAAATACCAGTGACATGTAATATATCAAACATTTGGATCAACGTTTTATAAGCAAAATGTTTATTACAAGGAGTACTCAAACTCATTTAGAGTAAATCTTATATATGACTAAATTAGAAAGATTAATAAAGACAAGCTACAAGTTCAAAACACCAATGAAACTAAAAGGGATACCAAAAAAACTCAACATTGTTACTTATCCAAATAGATCAGACAAAAGAGATGACAAACATGACAACTTTTTTCTTGTAAATAGAGAATTAAAATTGGTGAGCAAAATGGAAAAAAAGTTCCAACAAAAAAAATGCATAAATTGTATTCTAAATTCGGCTGGTTTGTTATCGATCAAGATAGAAAAAGATTGAGAGTTTCCACAAAATGAATAAGTACAAACGGTACTTTCTAAATCTTAAACAAAACAATTTTTTACTCATATTAACATCAGTTAAGACAACAAAACAAGATATTTTAATCTTAAATACATTTTATCCTTTAATCATAGACATATAATTAAATTCATATTTTACATCTTGAAAATTCAAAATTTAGATAAAAAAATGTGTGTATATATATATATATATATATATATATATATATATATATATATATATATATATATATATATATATATATATATATATACATATACATATATAGTATTTGGTGTTTTTCCAATTAATTGATTTCTTGAAACAACTTTTAGTCAAATTATGTAGTTTTAATTGGATTAATTAATTTCTTAATGAAACCTAACCCCGTTGAATTTGATTCAATTTTGTTATACTTTTTTCCAATCCAAACTGAACAAAGTCGTGAGGATCTGTCAAATAAATCCCTGCAAGTTTTTATTAGAATGTAATCATTTGTGCTAAGAAAATTTAATTTATTTAAATTTTGGTCACAGTTATTTCTTTTCAACTTTGGAGGAGAGACTCTTTGATTTCTGCTGGTATAGTTTATCGTGTCGTTGAATTTTGTATTGTAATATAAGTAAATTAATTAATTTTGTTTTAATAATAATCTTTTTAAGATGTTGTTCATTGAAATTTGATATAGAATAGAAAAAAGCATTAAAAATAGAATCTTAATCAATTGAAATGTACATTTAGGGTGATATCATTAAATATGGTTAACGTAATTGAAATTTGTTTATATTTGAGTTCACCTAGTTTTTTTTTCTTATTTCTGAATTAAGAGGAGTATATTATATCAAATCAAGTGCTTGATGTGGATAGTTTAAAATCTTTAATTTTACTGCAAAAAACAAATGCAGATATTATTCATTAATTTATTTTTAATTTTATTTAACAAGTATAATCATTTATCAATTTTATTCTCATTAAATAATGCGACATGGATATCATTATGGTATACAAATTATATATATAGGTTTTGATAAGAAGAATTTTGATTCTGGAAGAAGAAATTGGAAATTGATGAGTAGTCATTATTGGCGTCCTAAAGCTGGTGTGTGGTTTCAGTTCATCTATTATTCTTCCTGTGTTAGTAATTTCAAAAAGCACTTTCCATTTTTTTGTCCTCGCACGAACGTTATTTTTTCTTCATAAAAGGATCCATAAACAGAAAGGAAAGTAGAACGTGCGTAGCACTTCATGTTGAACCCTAGGTTGTTGACCAGTAGTTTTCTTGATTTAATACAATTCAACATGTGGAAGGTCAGTGTTTGACAATGGATCGCACCAATATTTTGGATCCTTCGTAAGTGTGGTGTTCATTTCTTCCAGTCTCCAAGATTTACAGTGTTTCACTGCTGCACATCGCAACCATAATTTCAGTCGCATCAGTCAGAATTTTCTTAAGCTTTCCTAATCTAAAGCTTTGATATTCACTACCAAAAAAAAAATTTTAAACCTTGATTCCTTTTCTCAAAGGAAAGGTATAGGAATGAACTACATGTTAACATCTTGAGATTGAAGTGAAAGTTGGTGACAAGCATAAATATGTAGCTTAACGAACAGTTTCTGAAGTGTAGATTTCATTGAATATAACATCACAAATTCCCCAACATGAGGTGCATGCTACCGGGGTTAGGTTGCACAAACCCTAGTATATTTTGGGCTTAATCATGATTAAGTTTTTTCAGAAAAGTGAATTTGTCCGTTAGTGTATGTTTTTTTTTTTTTTTTAAATTCGAGGGGCTTTAAGATTAAAAATAGATAGGAGAGCTATATAATAATACAAACTACAGGTTCAGTTTGATGAATCCTTTTTGGATTATTTTCTTCCTGCAACTTCAATTCTGTCATTCTGATTTCTGAGTACAATTAATAATTAACCATTTTTGGTGATGTGATGAATAATTAACATGGTTGGAAGTGACCAGAAGAGCAATCCCTCTCATGCACATTTAATTTATGTATACCCCAATAAATCTGCATTGGCACCATATACCATACACCATATGTATCCCTCCTATCACATCACAATTCACATTCAAGATGATGGAGATGTGCAGAAAGAGACTGATGCTTTTCAGAAGAAAGCATATGGCCCCCCACATGAACACAGACATTTTTGTCTTCACCGTAGAACCCTGGCTTATCAATAGTACCCTTCTGGCCCTTACATAAAGTAAAAGAAATGAACAATACAGATAGAATCAGAATATCTAAATGAGCCAAATTTTGGATCTGTTTTTATTTCCAACAGAATAATTACCTTGGTTGGATCCTTCCAGTTTAACTCAGGGTATTAGTTATATTCTTTCCATTAATTAATTTGAACCAGTATTCAAGGTTGGATTTGATAATGCTCTTATTTTCGAAGTGATCACTAATAAATAGCATTTCCTGGAAGGTAAAATTGTAAAGTAAAGGCTTTAAGTCAATATTAGGTCAAATCATTTTCTAAAGTTTCTTAATTTCTCTTTGACTTCTTCTTAACTAAGTAATTAATATGCTTTTCCATGATTCTAATTAACAACGAGGCTTTTCTAAGAAATTGTGTCATTGACTTAACAGAACTGGCGTATCTTGGTGTATATATGACATGATTATGTCATTAATTTTTTTTTCTAACAAACAACTGGTGTATCGATGTGTGCTGACTTTTCATTCTGATATATTATTTTCAACCAGATATGTTTTTCTTGGTTTTATACATCTGATAGGAAAGTGCAAACAACTTAACTTGGTAAAAAAATTCAATCACGCGCAGGCATGAATAGATTACATATGTTGAACTCATTACTTTCATAAAAATTTTCATCAACTAATTATATCTATGAAGTATTACTGTAGTGCAATTATTGTTGATAATAGAATGTATATATTATTGTGTGACTAGAAAGTGAAGCATATCATCATATACTGCCATGTTGATTATAAATATGAGGATAAGGACAGGAGGGAAATAAAGCGCGTCCACATGGTTCTGCATATAATATATGCCAAACAAACCCTTCTAGGACTTTCTTTCTGTCCGGAAGCTTCATATCAATTTGCGTTTGTTTTGTTAGGATCCATTCACGAGGTGTTGAGTGAAAGAATTCATTGGATGCGAATGTACGTTTCTGAAATAGTCCCTTGAATTTCTCAGACTGATTCACCAGCTCAAACTTTTAAAGTTATACTACTTCTCAAGAATATTAAGAGAATATATATATATATATATATATATATATATATATATATATATATATATATATATATATATATATATATATATATATATATATATATATATATATATATATATATATACATATATATAATGTCATAGTCTACGTATTCCAATTTCCGAAGAATGAAAATCATTGTACTTGACAATGAAATTGATGGAGAGATTCCACTAATGTGTGCACTATAAGTTTGTTTATAAATTATACATCATTACTTTGACAAAGAATGAAATATTTGTGACACATAAAAATTATTTAATTTAATTAGAGTATGTACAATTTAATTAATGGTATACGAGTTTTACTTTGCTGATAAATAACTTCAATATCAGCAACAAAAAGTTTGAAAAACCTGCGCCATTGATTTGATTATAGAGGTGAAGTGAGGGAAGCTTCATGTTGATGTTGAATGGAGTAATATTTTGGTGGTTGTTAACGCGCTTCTTGAATCTTGAATCTTGAATCTTGAATTCTTGATCTTTTGGGTCTGCGATATATCAGTCAGCGGGTTAGGATGTCTCAGACTCTCGATCGGTTTTATTGGACACTGAAACCTTCTCATTTCTTCCACGAAAATAATAATGAATATGTTATGAGGTTTATGTAGTAGATAAAGAAGAAAGTGGCATTGGTGAATAAATTGTTTAAACCTCTCAGAAATTAACTGCACTATCTCAGAAATTATCATAGTAACAAGATTTTCACTAGAATATAAGTAGTCAAGATTCTCCTGCTAAATAGTTTTTTAAAGAAAATACAGCAAACCTATAACTACCTTAACTAACTTCATAACATAATGCTAACTCACTTTTGAATATTATAACTATAAAGAAAATAGAATGGATTATTCAATAAGTAAGATAATGCTTACTTTTTATGTACGTGCATAAATATTTAAAAAAAAAAAAGATTTGATAGCAAAAACAACAAACTAGTTCTGATGGAGGAATATGTACAAGAGTGTCACAATGCAAGTTGATGTCCAAATTGCATGTATATTACTAAGAGAGTAGAGTCAAGTAGTAGTGATGGATGACATTCAATAGTCTTATAAAAAAAAAAAAGACAAACTTATAATTTCCATCGAGTCCAAAGTCATGGTCCCAAAGTTTTATAATTTTTATGTAATTTATGATTTTGATTTTCTTAAATTTAATTAACATTTAATATATTTACTTGTATATTTATAATTTTATCCTTTCATCCTTCTTCGATTTTAGTAACTCCTTATATAATTTATGATTTTGTCCTCCTCAAACTTAATAATCATTTAATATATTTAAGTATATATTTACAACTTTATTTTTTCACCCTTTTATCTTTTTTTTTATATTTTTTTATTATTTATTAATAATATATTATTTGTTACCTAAGATTAATCCAATTACTATTATGACTCATGCACAGCAATACCTACTGCATAATCGTCTTTCATACCACAAACCCATAAAATATATCCATCAGAAAATATCACCAATATATACCTTACAAATTGAACATAAAAAAACTGGATTAATCACAGCTCAAAAAAAAAAAAATCGTACAATGTTTTGGGCCAATGGGAGGCATCCAAGCTTCACGTATTCAGACCCTCCTGGTTCCTGCTTTTAGTTTAAATTTTAAAATTAATGAAGGGGACCACTGACTATTCCCTTTTGGTTGACGTTGAATTCTGAATGAACAAAAAATGTGCAACATGCAACCTGCTGAATAGTGGTTGGATTTGGAAGAGACCAACGTCACAGGGCTTGCCACCATTCATTCTTATACCGATGATATGACAGCACATGTTTGTGCTTAAATGATGAATGAACAAGGGATTTAAATCAAATGCATCAGATGCCAAAAACATCAAACCAAACCCCTTCTGGTTATGTTAAAGTTGCTGCGACGCATTTTGTCATGACCCTAAATTTTAAATGTAGCACATAAAATGAATGGCTGATCACCCATGCTGTGATTGTTCCTGTGTGGGTTTATCAGCACGTGCACTGGAGATAAATGTATATCTATTGCCGGCTAAAATTAAAGACCAGAAAGAGGACCGAAAGATACAGTCTTACATACACCACAATGCAGTCATTTACCTGTGTATATTATTGAATCTTAATAAAAATAAAAGAAAATGCCTAAAATACTCTTATTGAGGGTGCAAGGAATTTTTATAACGAGAAACTAGTTTTTCATATTTTCTCAGTAACTATTTTCAAAGTATACTATCATGATTGGTAGTGTATAGCTTTTTGTAATAACATTGCAGAACAAAAAGGAATGTAAATGTTGTTAGAAAGAGAGAAATATCCTTATTAGTTTTTTTTTTTAATATAAAAATCAATCATCAATAAAATTTACAGAAATTCCGCACTAAGAAAATCTTTACTCAATAGAAAGCGCTTCTAAAACAATAAAGTTGCAGAGACTTAAAATTTTTTTCAAAATAAAAATGTTACCATAACAAATGCCGAGTAACAGAAGCTAAAGTTATTAAATTTCACGTACAGAACAGTAATAATACTTGTACACTCCTAATATTTTATTTTTTACTTTCAACATTTGCCGATTTGTTTACATGACAGAAGAAAACACCATCAGTTTCTTGGGCGGTGATTACAGAGATATTACCGGTTACCGGTGAAGCTTGTTTGCCACACACCACGCACTTCACGTATTTAATAATCAATCAAAATAAATGAGCGGAGAATCAATTTATTAATCAATTAAAATAAATGAACGGCGAATCAATTTAATAATCAATTACAGGTGAACGGCAAAGCAATTTATCTTTCCATCAATCAATTACAGGTGAACACGGCAAAGCACTTACATTCGACTTTGATGACTGCCTTAAAGTCTAGACTTGTACAGGGACAACTACACATTCAAAACTTACTCAACCCAAAATTTTTTGCATAGAACAAAAGGGAAAAGGAGAAGGGAAAAAAATATTCAAGAGGATTGTATCTAAAAATGAATTACACTATTAACTGCAACTACACATTGCTTTATACACAAAAAACAGGCCATTCGAGTTAATAACATGGCCCCAGTTACTCGGTTAGTTGATGTATCCGGTTTAAACTCCTGGGCCCCCTTTGGCATTCGATTTCCATTTGCTTTTACTATCCCAGTGCGTATTCGGACAGTATATAAAGTAATAGCATTTTGCAATGAAAAGCTTTTTCATTTAGTAAACCTTATTTGCATTCTTTTTAGCACTTGTCCTCCTTGGTATAGAGAAGCAGTCAATTAAAGCCCGCAAATTTCATTTCTGCTTCATAATATGTTTTAACATTATGAATCATGAGAGCCTTGAACAATCAAAGTAATGCGCTTAGTACTGTTCGAACGAAAGCTGTCCCCTTTAAATGCAAACTGTGAATAAAATCATATTCAGGAATCAGGATCTTCAAGAAATTTAAACAACAAAAAGTTATAAATTTGTATATCATTTCAGTCACTAAAGCTGCAAGTTACCTCAGCCGAACTATCAGGAGGGAACCACCGCAACAATGCACCAAGATGCACAACCGCAGGAATTAGTTTGAAGAGCAAAGGTGTAGTCACCTGCATTATTTCTGTTTGTGTAAGCTTCAAAAAATCTATACAAACACTTGAGAACTTCGTACTCAAAACATATCGAGATTACCCATAACTGGCTATAACATTCAAAACTGTGGACAATAATTTGGCATAGGAAGGCCCAATGTTTTCCTAGTGATAACTTTTTAAACTTCAGATTTACTCGTGATACCCTGCTTGTAGATGTATGTGCAAACAGATGATCAACAAACAAAATTATCTACCAAAAACACATGATGTGGTTTCACTTATTCAGGCTAGCTGGCTGCTGTGGAAGCTAATGACTGGCAATGTGCCCATCAGCATGCTTTCAGATGAAAAAAAAAAAAACAATGTTTGTCATACTTTTCATTTAGTCCCATTTATATATTTTACATTACAAATGAAGAGAAATCATGTGAGAAAAATGACCACGGTTTTGTGGACTTCAAACAAAAGTTTGGCAGAGTATGAGCAACTTGCAACCACATCATAGTGGATATAGATAGCCTAATAACCCTAACCCTAACCCTAACTCATGTACTAAGACAATGAATTTATTATATGTTAAATTAAAACAAAATCCAATAGTGACAAAGTAATTGCTTGTTGGAATCCATGATAAATAAACGCACCAAGACTAGTTAAAAGACCAGTATTGCATCAATCTTGTATGAATGATAATTACTAGTTTACTAGGTATATATGTTATTTTATAAAATAGTGCATGCATACCAGACTAAGAGCTGTTGTTCCAAGGAGCAATAGATACAACTTTCCCTGCAGAAAGAATCAGACATTTAGTTCATGTATTTTAAAGTAACTACAGAAACAATGCAATTACATTCACATTTCGAATGATAAGAAGCACTGCCAGAAAACTGCAATTTTCTATTAAAATATATTTTCAATCTTTATAAATTGCTTCCTACAATGCAGAGATACAATGCAGTCTTCACAAACACAAAACCTAAAATGATTGTCTTGAAATGAAGTACATACCTCAACTAAATGAAGATTTGATGCACGGCTGAGAAGAACAAAGGAAAATTCCCCAATTTGTGCCAGGGACATTCCAACCTACGCATGTGAAATAACCTAAGGCTCCTCCGTCAATGAAATGTATTATATAATAACAGGCAGATAATTGTATTCACTGAAGTTAAATCTTCTTACAAGAAGTGAAGTCTTGTTGTTGTATCCAAACCCCTTGACAACAGTTGCAGCTACAATTGTTTTTATAATGATCACCAATATAACAGCTGCCACTAAAATGTCAACATGATTCCAAAGGAAATGGACATCTATAAGCATCCCAATGCTGGCCAAGAATAGAGCAGCAAAAAAGTTGCGAATTGGCTCAACCTAAATATTAAGAATCTTCAGTAAGCTCAAATATCTATAGCAAATCAAGAATCATCTTAAAAATTTTCCGTTTGTGCTTCAGGAAGGTTCCCTGAAATTCATTTGGTTGCCACCACCTTACAGGCATCCATAATGAAAATACAAAGTTGTATCAAACATAATATACAACCATCCCCATTCCACTAAACATGCTTAACATAAGAAAGAATAGAATACCCTAGAAAAAAAGAACATGCTAAATTCTGAGAAAATGATACTTCTCAACCCACAAGTTTACACCCAAAAACATAGTAAAACCAGTCACTCAAAGAACATAGTAGGATAATTACTTGCTCAAGTGTATGTTGACCAAGATCTGTTGTTGATATCATCACTCCCGCAGCAAAGGAACCTAGTTCAAGACTTAAACCCAGCTTATCACTACACTGAAAATAAACAACAAATATTAAAACATTTTGTTGAAGGCACACATGCTTGGGCATTATAAATGCTATATACAAAGAAATGTATGACATGCATAGATTTTTTAACACAGGTAGGTACTAGGGAGTTTACAATAACTCATAGTATCACTGAGCTAGACCCTCTTGGTAGGCATGCATGCATTTAAGCAATCCCTCAGATTTAGGGATAAAGTTTGGTGCATATTAAACGCCAATAGAAAACAACCACAGACTCAGTATAGATAATAAAACAGACAACTAAGATAACAAGCTTTGCCAAGTAATGAAAGATTAAGACTTGATAGAAGACACACCCAAGCAACAAGTAGGCAGAATGCCACTGATGCCAATTGATAAAGCTCATTGGTCTGCACAGAAAAAAAAAATCAGTTAAAAACTAATGCACAAACAAACATTTAAGAACATCGCAAAAGGTCTATCTTCACCTGGGAGGATAAGCTTATCATAAGCTTAAGGAACCACGGCACACATGTCCGAGATAATATTGTCAAAATGGCCAAAAATGCAATTAAGGTCACCAATCTGAAACAACAGAATCAGTAAACCAGAAGGAATAAATGACTGAAACAAGCATACAACTACGTACGATGATGAAAGTTAAAATCATCAGCACATCAAGGGTAGCTGACTGCCTTACGAAATTCAACCAGGAAATGGATGCAAGCAAAACACTTTTACTTTCAATTCTTTTATTTGAATTTAGATTGATTCTGGAATATAACAATATTTTCTATGACATTCATCTGGTCCTCATCTCATGGTCTCCTCAAGGAAGTCTTCATCTCAAGAATGCAAGATGATCGAAAAGCTTTATTCTATTCCCGAGTTTGTTTTGGTAGGTACAAATTTTGTGTATTCTTTGATAAGAACTCCTTTCCAACAGCTCTTTTCATAGTTATAATTAAAATAATAATTATGATTGCAAATGTTATTTTTTTTATAAAACACTTTTAGATTAATTTATTATAATAGACAATAGTAATATTAAAATAAAAAAAGACGAGGGCAATTCATGCACCACATTGTTTCTCTTTATAAATTTACATATGGAGGCATTCAAGAACTGTAGAAGTTTATGTTACCATAGCATTCTCAGTAATGGTCAAAAAGGGTCAACTGGTCAAGCACACCGAAATTTCTCAATTCACTTGAATCTTCAACTTAAACTCTCATAACAGGCAAAGAATCAACACTATGAACATAATATTGGAAACAATGGAAAGACATGATGAGAATACTATGTAGCTGCATTGGGAAACCTTGGGGTTTAATATCATCATATCATCATAAATTATGGAGAGAAAACATAAATGAGAAACGATCAATCCATCCTAAAGTTAACTTACGACTTAGTCATGGACACTACTCCTTGAAGAACACCTGATGTTCCACCCAAAACAGGAAGCAGTGCAAAGAGCAAACCAACAGCACAATCCTGAAAAGAACCAATAATTTCAAACATTTCATTAGAAGGCAAACGTGAAAAAAAAAAAATCAGTGTCATTGATTCCTCTCTGCTCTTTTTGCACAAGTAGCAGTAGCATTGTTTCAGTCATCATTGTGTATTCATCAATACAAAAATAACTGTACAAACCTGCAGTATCAGCGTTCCAATTGTAACCTGACCATGAAGTGCATTGACGCTATTCCTTTCCATTAAGAATTTCAAGACCTATGGATAAAAGAAGAATAAAAACAAACTGAAATTAAACAAAAATGATACAAAATAAACTGTTGAATATCTCCCAGAAGTTTTTTTTTTGTTACCTACTAATTCTACTGCCATTAGTAACTATAAGCCTAAATAGGTTACCTTTTCTTTTTCTATCTCACTGTAAATCAAACCAGAATGTGGATATATGATATTCTGCTCAGTGTTTTTTGAGACTCAAGCAATTCATTTGAATCTTCTTGTTCTCAATTGAGAAAATAACATATTTGAAGATAATACTTTGTCTAGCTGAGACAGCAAAAAAGTTTAATAACATCTAGAGGAGAAGTGATCGTAGTAAGAGCTTAGAATTTTAGTTTTTTTCGTCAACAAGAAAAATCCACTCAAACTACTCTACGCCAACTACTTGTGTATTGCACAAGAATTAATCAAACACTAAATAGAACTGACAGATTCTCCTAAACAAAAGGAAAAAAGAGCCAAAGCGTCAAAAAAACAATGTAACAATTATTCTATTCATGTCAGTAATCAATATTCCTTTTAAGAAAATGACAATTAAAGCATAATACTGAAGCCACAAACATGACCCCATACCACATGTGAGGGTAAAACGGCCATTGGAATGCAAGCATTCCTCTCTAACTTAACACTCCCAATGAACATATACACCTCAAATTCACCAAAAAATAAAAAAGCTTCTATCAATTCTTGAGTTAATTATTCTCTGTCTATGAGATATTACTATCATATGATCAAATAATCTAACTAAAGGCAATTATTGACCTTAAATTTTGCTAGATTTGATCTGATACCAAAGCCTATTGTAACTAATACTTGACAGTAAGGACCAGTGCCTTGAAACAAAATATCCTTATTTCTCATATTTTCCATTGTCCAGAAATAGTTAACAGTTAGCTGAAACACTGAACAGCTGTGTGGAATATATAAACATGAACACCATCAAATCTAACCCAATTTCAGCCAGGCAATAATTTCAATAATATATTGCAATTACTGAAGTTCAGGCATTGTTTTTTTTTTTAATATTATACGCCTGTAGTTAAATATTAAACAACTAACAAGTTATTGTCCAACAAAGTTGCAACCATGCTTGAGATGGTATAATATAGAAAAGGGAAGCCAGAAATCATGTCACAGTGTGGTCAGGAAATTACCACAGCGGTTGAAGACATGGATAGAAATGCACCAACAAATATTCCTTCAGATGATTTACCACCACATAACTGCAGGTAGGATTTAGGTGCATTTATCAGAAATTCACCAACACCAAAGTGGAATTCTTTTTGTAATAAATATTTGTAGAAGTAAAATGCATACTGAAGCTGTTAATCCACACAAACACATAAATAAGAAAATTTGGAGTAGGCCTCCAAGGATAGCCACTGCTCGAACAACTCGAAGCTGCAAACATGAAAAGACAGGTGTATATGGCTGAGCTAAAAATATGCAAGTTTAAGCTAAAAGGAATAATGAGTATAGAAGCCAACCTTCGTTGTTGAAAACTCTAAGCCCAATGCGAAGAGCAAAAAGATGACACCAAATTGAGCAACTGTCTCAACCTGCAAGGAATGGAAGTAGTATGTGAGATTACTAGGCATTAAAATAGATGACATTTAATTATCACATCATCTCAATATGTCATATAGAAAGAGAATATCCATGATATCTTGATTCCATTCAGTCAATGATTTTATATCTGGAAAAAATGTGGCTAGATAAAAGAGGCGGGGCGGAGAGAGTATTAGTATATGACAAAAGAACTATGAAGGCAACATACTTGGACCATTTCACTAACAAAACTCAAACCTCCTGGGCCTATGAGTGATCCTGCCAGCAGATATCCAGTTATCACCTGCAAATTTGAATGTATGGATTACCCCTTTTTAGAGGTATCTGGTAAGATATCTATTGAAAACAACAAAGCAAGGTTTGTGATCAAACTGGTTGTCCAGCACAAGCAAAGGCAATGCCACCACAGGTTGCAGAGACAATGACAACCACAAGATCTGATATCAATCTGAAAATATGCCATAAAAAGAAAAAACAACCTGACTAGTTAGTAGTTGCACCCACTGATGAATATAATCTTACTAGACAAAGAAAGAGAGAAAAAATATGAACAGTAAATGTAAACCTCAAGTCTAATTGAAGAACTGGATACTTTGACTTGGGATTGGATATGATAAAGACATTGTCCTGTAGTTGAAACAATCGAAAAAATATAAAAAAATTATATCCACTTCTAACAAGAGTGGTAGGATTGATTTTTTCATGCATTTCCGATGATGTGGCTGTAATAGAATATTATTTCAATGCTTGAAAGACCTAAACTTCAACAGCTTGAATTGGACATACCTTCCGGTCAATTAAAGTTGGCATATCATCTGCCCTATTCTCATTATCCAAGTTGAAAACATCGTGGAGCTGAAATGACCTGATAAAAAACTTAACAAATGTCATAATTCAAAGTTAAGGCATTTGCATTAAATTCTTAAAACTCAGTTCCCTTTTAAGAAAAACCAACAATCATTTGACTCTTCACGAAAGAGGCGCATACTTCTCCTCTTTGCTTTCATTTTTCTTGGGAATAACTCTGGCAACAGTTTCCAAAACAGCCTGATACATTAAAAAATTATGAGAAGGACCATAGATCACGATCTTTTCAAGGTATATGAAATCTCGTAAAAATCACAAAAGTGATATTTACCAAAACAGAAGTAACCAAGACACAGGTTCCCACCCTAAAATTCATTATCCCAGAGAAAACTAAAACACAGATTTTACACGTCATAAGTAAAATCTGAACAAGTTATCATCACTTGTAACTTCTGTCTTGAATCAGCTTAATACTCTTCTAATGAATTACCATCCACAAACTTATGGTTCGTTAGTTTTTCAGTTTGGAACCCCTTAACGAACAGTTTACTCAAAAGCAAGAAATTGTTGCTTCTCACATTTTGGAATGAATGTAACATGTATGTAACGTGTATACAAACATACTACTAAGTGTATTTGGTTTCCCGTTTGGAGCCTCCGAAACAGAGTTTCACATTTTCCAAGGGAGCAAACGGAGAAGCTAGAGAATTGCGTGCGTGTTTGATTTATTTTGTACCCGTTCAATTGCAGTTCAACGGAAAAGCATGTGAGAGTTTAAAGACTTCTACCGAAATCCAAACACACTACGATCAGTTTGCATTGAACGAACTGTTTTCTAAAAACACTGTTAACTCCTGACCAGATTAAAGTCTAGCTTAAAACTAGACACCTCTACCACCTGAATTAGGTCGCTAGAGTGCTACAGTCTATTACACCCCAGGTTGCTTTACCTCAAAAATTCCAAAAAATTCAGGAGGCAATTAAATATATCATGTGAAACAAGTCGCTACACACCTGCTGTTCAGCAACACTGTTGTTGAAACCACCAGGATCGGCACCTGAAAAAGAGTCGGCGAAGTTCACTGAGAGCATTCATTTGAAATAAACTTTCCAAACGCTACACACACGTGGTTCGTCAATGGTTCAACACGTTCGTGACAATGGAACTATGCGAAAACATTTGGAAGTTAACGGCATTTCATTGATCTTCCATCATAAAAGCCCAAAAAAAAATAATAATAATAATAAAGCAAATTGCAGGATTCTAATCACAGTACGCGCGTTACTACGAGAAGGTTTCACAGAAAAGGCAAGTTTAATGGGTAGCAGACTGAATAAGAAAATTGCAGAAAAACGCATACGGAGAAGTGAAACGAAACTCGAATTGAATGGCATTTTCGATAATTCACACTGCTAAGGCAGACAACAACCACGATCCGACGAATTTTTGGAACCGGTTTAAACGAAAAAAAATTGAGCATTAAAAAGTTAAAGTGCGAGAAGCTAGATCTGCAAACCTTCATTCTGCTCATTGTCGGGGAACTCTCTCTCGAGAGCCCGATCAATCATGTTCGCCAAGCTATCATCGTCAGATCTCGCAAGCGAGGCATTAACGACGGCGGTTGTGTTGGTTCCGGAGAGGAGAAGCTCCGGCTTTGAATCGGCGTCAGCGGCGAGGAGAGAGAAAGAGAATGAGGTAAGACAAAGAAGGAGATCGCAGAGAATGAGAAGGTTGAAAATCGCAGGTGACGTTAACCTCATCTCCCAGACTCAATGAGAGAGAGAGCAATGGAAGAGCGGTGAAGCGAAACGACACCGCTGGTAGTTAGCAGCACCGTCGTGTTTGGCGCGCGAATTGTTTATCTCTTAAGCGCAGAAAGATGCGACGGAGAAGTTGAGCGGGTTAGAGGGAGGAGTGCGAGTGGGAAAGTACCGAATGGTCCTCGATATTAGATGTTGCGAAAAACTGAAAAAGGAAGTTCGAATTCTAAAGCGAGTGTGGCCACTTGCTATGCCCAACGAGGCGCGTGTGTGTCACTGCATGCTCACTTTACTTGTGACTAACTCATGCAAAGCATCTCAGCAAGGAACGTTGCCAACAATATACGGACACTGCCAAGAAGCAAGCGATTCAACTTTTTTTCTAACCTCACTTTATTTATTGGATATTCAAAATTTTCCATTTATCGTAAATTTCCTCATTTTTAAAGAGAGAAAATATTTTTTATCTTAAATGAATTTTTAACGTAGTTTTATTCAAAAATAAGTATTAAATTAACAAAAAATTAATGTGTTGTTGTTAGTGAAAAAATCGAGAAAAGTGATCGAAAAACGAAGGAAAGAAAAATCGAGTAAACATGTGATTTATTGATAAATCGAAAAGATGGATGAGAAACCATTCAATGTTCAATTAGAAGTGCGTGACACATAAAATCGAGAAATAAAATCAAGAATCGAAGGAATAATAGTTAAATGTCTATTGTCGAATGAAAACTAAGAAATTAGAAGTATATGACGTTGAAGTTAAAAAGAATCGAAAGCAATTCAAAGTTCTCGAGATCTTAAAATCGAAATTGAGGGGAAGATTAACTTACGAGGATATCGAAACCTTGGCCAAATCATAAAGAGAAGAATAATTAAACACGCAGATAATAAGCAGTTTTTTAACCGTGGCAGAGGTCAAAGATCATGGGAACGTGGGTGCGGTTTTAACACCACAGGAAAAGAAACTACAACATGCACAAAGAACGTGGTAGCAGTTTCGTTAACTGCTCCTAAGAGACTACTTGAAAGATGATCTATAAATAGAGCAAAAGATGAAAAGAAGAGGGATTGTGAAAAAATTGGCAGAGAACAGAAATACTAGTGAGAAGTCTACCAGAGAACGACGAACATCATGAAGTTTCTGGCGATCTGGATTTCCATGCTCATTGAGTACCTTTACCGCTTTCTTTATTTTCCCTGGTAATTTAATTTGATGCAATTTATCTTTAGCAACTTTAAGTTTCTGTACTTTCGATTCCTTGTCATTTCCTTTAATGAAAGTTAAGTTTCCGCATTTAAGCTTCTTGTTATTTACATTTTTGTAATCTCGATTCCTTGCTATTTACATTTTTGCGTATTTCGATTTTCTGCCATTTACATTCTCGTTACTCCAATTTCTTGTCATTTAATGCAAATTTGAGGTTTCTGCATTTTTACCTCTTGGCAATTCAATTTTATGTTTTGTTTTTCGATTCGACGCTTCTATTGCTTTGTTTACTTTGAACACTTTAAACATAAAATACCAAAAATAGCATTTTTTGATACTATGTAAATTTCGATTCTCATATGCATTTCAATTGAAAATCAATTTGCTAGCCTAAGTAAAAAAGAACTTGCGTGGTTGAATTTTGATTAGAATCAAAACCTCTTAAGAATCGAAATCGATCGAAATTCCACCAGAAACAAATTGACGCGCTAGGTAGGGGCATCTTGTGTTGAAAATACACAAAATTGGTTAGTTTGAAAGTATATGAGATTAAGGAGTGGGCGAGTTATAAGAATGAGTCAGAATCCACCAAATAACCAGAGTAACAGTGAGGGTCTAAATGGTGCACATCCACCAAATACTGGGGGGCAAAGTTATAATGGAAATATGCCTGTAATATCGACAACCGTGAGTATGTCGATACCTGTGAGTAATGAACAAAATGCAGGCACATTAGCAAACACCCAAGTAGGATCTAGTATGGTGACACCAAACAATATGCAAACTATGGGAAACCCCATAACAACAAATGTTGGGTCATATATGAGCGTAAGACCACCTGGGTTTTCGCTTAATATGAATGGGGCTGGTACCTCTTCGATACAACGAAACTCGAGATTTAACCTAGGAATGCCTCAGAACTCAGGTACTTTTCAAACTCTAGGTATGCCGCAAAATTTCGGAGTCTCTCCGAATTTAGGATCTCAAAATTTAGTAACCCCCCAGAATTCAGGGAGTGGGCAGAATTTAGGTACACAACAGACACCTCCAAATCTAGATCACAGAGCAAATCTGGATCATGGGAGAAATGCATTCGATAGAGATTATCATCGATCTAATTTTGAGACTATTGAAAACACTAGTACTGGGATCTCCAGCAACTCACTAGGAGTGTAACGCCCTACCTTATAAACCCTCAATCAGAAGAATTAATAATTTTTAGTAGAAATTTTTTTTTTTTACCGATAATAATCTTTCCCTCGTACATAATATCAATATATAAATTTTCAATAATCCATTCCTGCATTTCATCATTTTAAAAAAAATACTAAAAGTAAACATTCATAATTACATATAGATAAATTACTACTACAATCCTTCAAAATATTAAGGGCAACATTGAGGATACTTCCTACAGAGCAGCTAACTACACAAAAGAGTAACTACTACTCACTACCTTGTAGGTCTATATACTATAAAAGACTATCTATAAAAGTTTGGATATGTTTATGCCAATACATGTTGTCATCATTGTGGCTCCCAGCTAATGAGTATGAGTAACATATTCATCGAGTGTGGAATTTGTGTCATCTCTCCTCTCTTCAAACAATGACCGATCAGGTCCAACGAGTACCGCAAGCACAAAGGAAATAAAGAAAACAGAAAGACAAGAGGGTGAGCAACAGTTCATACATCATTTTAAAATCAACATCATAAACATTCACAAGTTAATCAAATTTCAAATGATTGATGTTAATGATGCATGATCTAATATGTTTTCTAAAATGTTTATGCATGCGGGCCCGAATCATTTCTCAAATCAGTACTGGGGTAGCCAGGAGTTGACACTACTAGGCATGGAAAATCCACCCACGGGATTGTTGAGACCCATGCTCAAATATAAACCCAGTAGCTCACTGACCATTGATATACGGTAAGAGCACAATCGGGTATAGCAGAGTTTGTACAGTGGGATCCCCGACAACAGGTAGCGAGCCTGGGTCTTTTGGGGCCTCCAACCACTACCCTTCCTATCCTCAAGTCCTCCCTCAGGGCCTCCCTATCGTATTCTCAGAGTCCATAATCTCCGATTCCCCAGATTTCACAAATCACCATTTTCAAATGAGTAATGTATGAGTCCCTAAGTGGTTTTTCTTAGAAATTTACATTTTTCCAAAAATTTGACAGAGTTTCCCCTGTAATACAGACTTCCCAAAAATTTACAAGCAGAACACTTCCAATACAGTTCAAAAAGGGTTCACAACCCATCATCCAATTCTTTCAATTTAATTTTCAATGAATTTTCTCATGAAAAACCACCATGCATATAAATGCTCACTCAAAGACCATACATATCATAATAGAGTACCAAGCATGTATTTTACATCATCATACACGTAAGCAATTCATTATCACTTTCACAGCCAAACATATAATGAAATCACAATTATCAATCATAACAAATTTAGACAAATTCAACAAATAAAGTCAAACAAGTTTATGATGTAATCCTTACTATATAGCCCACCCCTTACCTGATACGTTCACACTTATTCCTTTCAAAGCTTGATGTTGTGTTTCAGCAAAATCTATATACGTAATAAAATGCTAGTTAGAATCTTATATTTCTATGATTCTATCTCATGAGAATTTAAATTCATTTTGTATTGTTAATCCATTTCTAATACTATTTAAGCTCACATTCAGCTTACAATTAACTTAGAAATTATCCTATTTTGTAGGCACTTAGAGTAGAAAGAATCCTAATAACAACCATGGACAAGGTTCAGTATTTCGAAATTTTCTAGAGTTATAAAAGCTGTTTTTGCATGAGATTTGAGCCAAAATTTCAATAACTTAATTACCTAAAATATTGATGAAGGAAATAAATTCAAATACCCTATAGAATAGATGCGGTTTTCAGTTTTCAGTGGTTGTTTCCAACTAGGCTCAACTACAATAACACTCTGAACATGCCTTGGTAATTGGATTATAACTCTTGCTACACATAAGATATTAACATGAAATAAATTTCTAAATTTCGGAAATATAATTCCCTACAACTTTTATGAAGGAATTAAGTCCTAATTTCACACGTATCAATCTCAGTAATTCAAAAACCTAGGCTGTTGAAACAGGGCTACCTCTTAACGTCACAGCTAGAACACTTGATAGTAAAATGTGCATAACTTAAGCTATAAATATCCGTTTAATGTGAAATCAGTTTCTAAATTTCGAAAACTTAAAGAGCTACAACTTTCATGAAGATACCAATTCCTAATTCTGTTCACACAAGTCCCAAAAATTCAATTAATAGTACCTACGAATTAGGACTCTTAAAGTTTTTAGCTTAACCACTTCTAATCCTCAATTTTAAACATTATTGTAGTATCCTAGGTGTAAAACCTACAATAACACTCTTCCTACTCCCATTCAGCTTATTCAAGTGAGGATAAAAATAGAAAATGCACCGTTTTGAAAAATAAAACGGTAGAAATGTAGAGGAGATTGAGATAAACCAACTTACCTCTTGGAGTTTCTCAAGAAAAACAAGATTTCTCCCTCAAAATGACGCTTGAAGGTAAGAAAAGTTTTAAGAGAAAGAGAGAAATGAGGAACTACGAAAAACTTGCAGAATGTTTCATTTAAAAGTCAAATGGTTGAGTCCTATTTCACCTAATTTTCTGCTCCGCGGATTATATTACAAAAATTTTATCGATTATTTTCTTCTTTTTACTCTAGCCAGGATTTGAACCCACAACCCCTAAAACTCCAACATCACTCCAAACCA